TCGATCCCGAGATTAAATCCCGATCCCGGGATTAAAAAATCGTCGGGATTTTGCAAACCCTAGTTATAATACAGTCACATAATACTATTTAATTCTCAACAACGCTAACGAAAACAATGAATAATAATCCATTTGTCATTACACTGAACAGAGATTCACACGAATTTTTCCATCTAATCAAATGCACATAGTCAATGAAGGCTATTATGATGACGATATTAATGTTTGTCTGATGAAGTGATGTTGGGTTGTTAATATATGACTGTTTTATGCGATAAGTACAACGGTATGTTCAATTCATATATCTGAGCGACATCTTAGGACAACAAGCAACTACGCGTTTCAGACTTATTCATAACCGATGTTGGAAGATGATGCCGATATGTTCTGAAGCTGAATCACTATCAGTTGTCCGTTCGAATGAAAACCATCGCGTAAAGCAGTTGTACCATAAGATATTACAGCTCAGTATTGTCTAACATATTGAATATCTTAAGAAATGACAAAAAAACAATGAACGTATACAAACAGAGAACTTTTGATGAACCGACCAAAAAAAAAACAGCATGCTTCCAGTGCAAAGCTTGACTGCTGCCGAGGGATATGTGTGTGATTGTGTCCGACTCAAATTAAGAAAGCAACAAATTCTTTTAATGATGTACTCGAAAACAACGATAACCAGTAAATTATGTGTTAACAGCTGAAGAAGAACAAGTAAGCTGTTTAGTGATAATAAACATATGTAAGAAACGATAAGCCTTAAATCTCTGCAATGATTTCTATGCATTAATCGCGAATCTGTACAAATCAATAACGATCCATTTGGTAATTTTATCTCTAGTCTAACTACACCTAAACATATACTATTACACAATTAAATGAGAACATGAATACGTACGATGTAAGACAATGATTATGACAAAGTTATCTGAATGCATTACTTTCACTCATTATTGCAAAATAGAAATTTACCTGTCTTTCAAGGAACCGCTAATATGAGCGACCTGATTGTTACATAAATGCAACCATTTGACTTATTATTATATTCAACTATAAGTCTACTTACTAGTACATTCAACTATAAGGAGTGAAAGCAACGAGAAAGGAAAAATTAACGAAAGACATATCAACATTAAGCTTGTTGAACAAGGAATACACGAATGAAATTTTTAAAAGTAATATCTGTAGATTCCGCCACCTAAGCAACCCTATCCCACGGGTTCATCGCTGCACGCTCTAATGCGTACCATATAATTTCAAGTCGAGAGTTAATGATGTTCAGGATGATGACGAAGACATTCTACTAAATCGGCTGGTGGCATCTGACCACTACAAATCTTATGAACTGCACAAAACACTGGAAACCTGAAATCAACAAGAATTCGAATGAATTTCGGATAGGCAATATGCGGTTGCTGTGTTCATGAGGCATACGCTTTGTTGTGTGTACTATAGGATGGAACAAAATGATGCCGAAAACGATACAAAAGAAGCGAAAAAAATGAAACCGAAACCGATGGGAATTCATCAGATTTTCTCGCCTCGTCGCTTTAGATTGAAGAGAATTACATTCACCTAACAACCTTCAATAAGCGAACGTAATAAAGTGTTAATTTTATCGAATTGAAGAAAATTGATAATTACTTCGCCTCCATTTTAAAATGCTCCAACATCCCATAAACTTCTTCAGCGCACAATGGTCCTTGCGCACTTTGACCTTTTAATAACTCCTCTTCAACGTCCTTCAATGGCTGCAATTTCAAACGATAACATGCAGACTCAACACCATCTCATGCGACCAACAAATCTATATTGTTATTCGTATTTTACGAATTAACAAGCTCATTTAACCTATTTTGCTTATGCGAGTCATAAGAAACATTGTTATGTTGAAACAAATCACACGTTCCTATTAACTTCTATGAATGCCATTCGATCGTGCGGTGATCGGGGAATCTTAATTCTCGACAAATGATTAAAAAATCTCAAAGAAAAACACATGCGATTACCTTTCCGGTTCTCACAAACGCCTCACACACTTTACGATTTCGACCACCATAACAAGTCGTAATCAAATCCGCTATGCCACAACTCTCGAAAAAGGTCTCCAAATTTGAGCCTGGATAGAAGTGTTCGACGAACTGAAATGATCACCTCTTACTCCGTATTCCATCAATTAGCTATGAGTCTTGATCATCAAGTGATCACATTCAGTTGCAATCAGACACATCTAATCAGGAGTATCACCTTTGTTATCTCCATAAGACCCAAACGAATAACGGCTGCTTTCGTATTATCTCCGAAGCCTAAGCCATCGGTTATACCAGCTGCACACGCTACGATATTCTGCAATACACAGTACACAATGTTATCTCATACTCAATGATATTTTGCAGTTATTGCTACTGAAAATGATTGTGAGCACATCAATCTGAAGATCAACCAAATCATTCGTTAACATCCGAATGTCGTTAGCATCCGAATTCCTAAAACAACGAAAATCTCCCGCAAATTTGACATTCTTTACGAATGATTGCTGCACTCATCTCAAAAACGAACTAAAAATTAAATGAACGCAATACGCACTTTCAAAGCACCACAAAGTTCCACTGTATGCGCATCTTCTACGACGTTAATACGGAAGTTTTCTGTTTGAAATAATTTCTTCAGTAAATTCCTTATTTCGGCTTTTCCTCGATATCCTGNCCACTGAGATCCAGTGATGATGAATAATCAAAAGACTAATAATAAAATCAGCGTACAGTATTTTATGACGATGAAACGTATTCTTTGAAGGTTCATAGAAATCAATAGGTTCTTTAAAAAAATTACAAAAAGTTCAAAATTGGAGATCCGTCATCGAATATTAATGAAAATGAAATGATTCCTCCTCATCGGGTGTTTTTGAAACGCCGCACTGACCTACTGTTGCTTCGCAGAAGTTGTCATTCGCAACTTCAGGTGCCAAATTGGCGCCCATTAAAACGGCAACATCAATGTGCAGAACATCTTGAATTTCCTCGGACACTAACCGAATACCTCCCTTTGTATGAACTGCCATCAAACCCTGAATATGCACAATGGTTCTTGCACTGAGATATGAGCAGAGACGACGATTGCTGGCTTTGATATATCAATTGCTCAACTGCAGATCAGATCACTTAACGATTTCTCTGTTTTCGGCAATGTGAAAGTATCGAATTAGGTTTTTTTTTATTCCTTGTTATATTAGCAAATATGTTGAATAATGAAACTAAATAACANAACTTTTCGAACTTCTCCGAACTTCAAATGGAACTTCAAATCTCCGAAAAACAAAAAATCTTCAATATTCTACTCACATTGATATTCATCCACAAACAGACAAAATAATTATCACTTAAAACTTACAAAACTTTAGGAAATAATTAAAGTCAAGTAGTCAGTACGTATTGAGACTTATAGAAAATGGACTTTCTTGGGCTAAACGCATCTGCTGCTATAACGTTGGTTTATTGACAGACGTAAACAGCGACTGTTATCGATTATGGTGAAAGTGCTTTAAGGTTGAAGGGACAAGTGGTGAGGAAACGCGCGAGGACAATGTTGTTTACTGGAGATGCACTGGGACGGGTTCATAGAAGAAAGCAGATCCGAAAACATAATATACAATTAGCAAATTATAAGGTTCACTGCCAATTAACGTTTACCTGAACTACGATTCACATGCATCTCCCTATTTGCATGCATTTCGTGCAAACGTGCCCAGTTAATTTCTTACATTAATAGTAACAATCTACCTTTCAAGCAGCATTTACGCAGTGTATTACATGATTGACATCACGTTCCTTTCAAACTATGAGCGATTTTAAACTCGATAACTTATTTTATCACACTTCTTGGATAAAAAATTTCGCTTTCATATGTAGCGAATGTCAATCACTACTTCTCGACTGTTTCTTAATCATCCCAATTTCAATCAGTTTTTCCAGCAAAATGTTTCATTAATGTCTACCTGTGCAACATGCCCAAGAAGTGCGAGTTACAACCTGTTCCACATGCCTCTACAGACCGTGATATTTTCATGCTCGCCCGATAAATACTTCCAGGGTTGGAAAAAACACATTTGGGCAGCACCAGAATTTCATTTGGGCAAGCAAACAAGTATTCAAATTAAAGCAGGCAAAGCTAACTCGTCCCCGTCGGGACGACAACTGAAAAATGCAACTATGAATGCTGAACCGGGAAATGGGTTGAAAGCAAAAGCTGAAAGCTAACAGCATTGCACTAAAGAACAACGAAAGCATTCAACAACAATAACTAACAACAAATTACCGCTTTATCTAGAGGCCGTGGCCGTTCCCCACTTTGAACACGGCAATGCAGTACATCATCCTTGAAATAAGAAATTTCGTTATGCCATATCACTATCTATTCAATATGAGCATTCTTCTCTATTTAACATATGTCCTCCTTCATATCTTATCACCTCTAATCTACACTGATTCTAAACAAACGATGTGAACCAAAATTTGATTTTCCTCTCTTTTGTATCATTTATCATGGAAAAGTGCTACGGTGGTGCGAGTGGTGCTGCATTTTGGAATATAACGTGTTGAAAAAGTTGGAATTTTCAAATATTGTGCTTCTAATTTTCAAAAAAAAACATATAAACTATGAAAGGCCTACTGAAATCCCAGAGAAAACGCTTACGTATCATCACCTCGATTTAGAGTAACATTCAATAAAAGCATTTCGACGTTACTAGAAGAAATTTCAACTTTTTCGAAATGCCTCCGAAAAACATCAGACATTCAAATGTCGTTTGAAGTCATCACGCTCGCCTGTTGCAATTAAGACATGCAAATGAAGTGATAAAATTCACGTGAAATTATTTGTTCTTAACGATTAATCGGGGGGGGGGGTGCGAATGATTTGTGTGTGAATGTGACGGGTGCTAACAATAGGAAGATAAATACTGCTTACAACAATTTACACGGCAGTGTTCAAATTCTTTGGTGTATATTGAAGGAGTGGTTGTTAATGAATTGCATACAACCATATTGATTTCAAAAGCTCTCGCAAGATTTTACAGAAGAAGGCACAGTTTTGATGCATGTTTTGATCGTCCAGTCGCAGCCGACTTCGACAGACAAAAAACCGTGGAAGCAAACCTTGCATTCACAATCTAAATGTACATCACGATACTTCAACTGCGCACAGATGGCCGATATCAGCTCTGCAGTTCACGCATCACACACAATAACAATAGCAATTAGCCACCAACTCGGAGACTTACAACAAAACGCTCACTTACAATACCAATTTACAACAATTCAATGACATAAAACGTTTACAACAATCATTCCCTTTTGGTCACTCGTAAACACTTTTCTTCTACGAAAGATACTTACTGAACCGATTATGGAACTCTATTGCGTTCAATAAATTTTCTGAATAAACGTATCAGTGCATGCTAGAAAGAAGAATTATATGTGTGCTCCACCAGTCACGCATACTTCAACAGGTCAATATTCCCAACAACAAGTTGAAAATATTGACCTGTCAAAATTTACGTGACAAGTTTTTACCGTTTGTTTTCTCTCCGTAAAATGACATCTGTTCGTCGCACTAGATGAGGACATTGAATATAAACATTGGAAATAATGCAATAGAAGAAACAGAACGGATAAGAAAGCACGGCGGATAGGAAATTGAAGCATTCATTTATTGATGATCATAGGTACATTTTCTACATGGCAGGGATAGCAGCAACTTGCAATATTGTGGTCTGTTCTCTTTAGGGCTAAACGGACCCTGATGCGATCTTTAGTTAAATAAACCGATGAGAAAAAATAAGGCGCGGAAATTGTGACTGTTCGCATGAATTACTTCAGAAACAGTTCATTCAAAACAGCACGAAAAAGCAATTGCTGCAAGCGAATCAACTCCGAAACGATTTCAAATGTCAAGAATTCACTCATTCAATCGCACCAAAACGCAGTCCACTCAACGCAGCAAGTGGCTTGGTTCCTAGTTCATTCGTTGATTATTCAATAAAGGAACTGAGTTCATTCTAGGAGTAAGAATCGAAGCTGAAGACTGATCGAAAAGCGAATAAGTAACCTTGATGAGTGATACTGCCAACGCACCGTCCTTCAGATGACCATTCAACTGCTTACAAACGCCCGAAAGAAACTGATGTGGCACTACGAAAACTAATACATCGCTGTCCTTACACGCTTCAATTAGATCCGTTACAGCCACCTGAAAAAAATATTCAACAGTTTTAAAAGTAATCGGACGTTTTCGCTTGTTCTATCAGTGGACTTAGGTACTCAGGTAACAGAATTGGCAAATGCGCAGCTTTCAATCTGGTTTTAGTACCGAATAGTGAAAGAGATAAATTTGGATATTCTGCTCTCCGGAAAACCTTATTGGAACACATCTGATGAAGGAAATGAGATGAAATTTTCGAATCGGGAGAGAAACAGGGTTCCATACGGATCAAGTGCGATTTCTACTACGAACCACATTGCCTGGAATTTTTCTGCCAGGTAAATATTTGGGATTTTCGTGTTGTTCGTTGATAATTTGCGATAATTTGTGTCCTTCCCAAGTCTCCTCGAACACCCACATTTTGACAGTTTCATCGAAAGCGCTCTTGTTCTGGGTGACCGTTGAACCAACTATTCGTGCGATTGCCGATCCCCTGCCATATGGATGAATCATTAAATGAGTCGAACAAATAAACAAAGTCGCATAATGAAACACTGATAACAGTGATATGACTACTGATAAACATAACGATAAGAATAATAATCTTGACAGTGATATTATCGTAACGGCCAACCAATTGCCTGATCCTATGATTGTGACCTTCATTGGCGCCATTTGAATGCTGATTTTGTTGCTACCCGTTGACAAATATGAATGAGCACAATAACGGTTGTAAGTAAAAAATAATGAGCGATTGCAAAAGCTACGCTTCGGATCAAATAAGACCGTGAGGTCGGTACCTGATCTCAGACCCGAATAGCTGAACGAACGGGATATAATGAGAATGCGAACCGCTCTGCAATACAAACTCTCGTTGAATAAATAATCGCGAATCGGTGAAAATCTCATTTGATATGGATGAAACGATACGATTACAAAATTATTTTCAACAAATATCGACAAACTAAAATGAATGTCAACAGAACACGAATATTGCAAAATGTAAGCCGAATAAAATTAATCTGGAGACGAATTAATATTATTTCTTTCACTATTAATCATTTCGCATATCATCGAATGTAACTCTTACGATTATTATTGGTATTTTTGTATTGTCATCCTTAAACTAAATTGTCTAATTCTATGCTAATGACTAATGCTTACAACAATGATGAAGCCTGTCTCAACTAGAACAAGTAAGTACCTTGTGCAAGCCTAGTTCTTCTGGTAACTGACACTAAATCTTTGGTCTTGTATTGAAACAAGCAAACGATGAGACTTTGCAGAAATCATCGCACAAAAAATAAAGATATTTACCTCGTGAAATGACTAGACGCTTAAACTAAACGAATGATCGACAGTTAAAGTGATTAGATCGATGAATGACAAGATGTGAGTATTTTACGGATTTTTGTCGGTAAAGTGCTGTACTGAAGCTGAAAGAGACAAATGAAGAGGGCATAAAAATCAAAGGAAAAAACTCAAATTGAAAATCAACGTTACCGTGAGAATGTGAACAATGCTCGACAACGCTCATGCAAATTGGAGATCATTTGACGTGGTAATAACAATAGTAATGATAATAACGATTCAGCTATACGTTTTTATAATCAGAATTGTGACGAATGGAACAAACATAAACTTTCGAATAAACTTCCAAATGTAAATGAATGCTGAGCATTTACAATCAAATGGAATGATAATTGTTCGGTTATCTATCTGTTAGAGTGATTTTCGTTTAGAATGAGTGTGTTTTAGCGATGGAATCATTACATTATGATACGAACAAATAATTAATCAATGTAAAATTCATTAGACAGAATGGGCAATGGGAAATGTAACGATAAGAAAGCGATGAAACTCTGAATGTAGAGAACAGTGAAACGCATTAGAAAGTAATTGGACTGTGGACATTTTAGTGGAAGCGTTTGTACTTTGGCGATATTAATGACGAAACGATGGGTGTCTCTTCTGATGGAAAGATATGTGTATATTCATACGTATGCATACATCCAATTTGGAATCGATTCGATTTGGAAGCTTTCAGCTTAAATTACTCTGTAAATGTAGTGTAATACAATGCGCACTGTTCAACCGCTCATTCGAGTCGACGAAATATTCCTCAAGCATTCAGCACTTTTGATAATGCTGCAATCAAAACTGATAATACACCAGAACTGCATCGTCATTTTGGCGATAAAATCAACGAGCTGCGCATAACATCAAAATAAACCGGAAATAATCATCGGCGAACTGTATTGGCTTCATTGCTTGGATGGCACGGGCATAACTGATCACGTTGGATTCTATTTGCCCAACGAAATGATTTTAAAGGAGTGCTTCATGAATAAGGACTTTTCCACTATGCCACTTCAACATCAATTTAGAGAATAACTCTCGGGCACATTCGTCTCATGAATATTCGAAGCCATAAAAATTTCCATTAAAATTAGATTTTCCGAATTATTCAGCATCCTTGGAATGAACTGATTTATAGTCAAATGTAAACTCATGCACTCATATAAAGTATGCTTATATTCAAAAACTATGATAGATGGACTACGTGATAACACGAATTCTTCACAATGTGCGTTCATCTGGGTCCATAAGCGATACATACGTTCGAAATAGGTTTTGACGTCACGGCACATCACCACCTCAGTATCCTCAATATCCACTCCATATGAAATTTAGATTTCGCGTTTGTGGGTGTTCCGACGAAACGAGCAGATTTGTCACTTGAACTCATAAGTTCTGAAAAAATCTACTCAGATTTTGCGCACTCCAGTAGTCATACGAGTAAGCACTCGAGGAACCTGTAAAAGCCGATTATCTTGAGACAGCTACTACTGTCTAGCCGAGCTTTTGAACAAGGAGTGGAAACACACTGGATGACAGATATAAGAGTGCGACGAAAGAGTGCTGTATCGATTCAATGTTCCTATGGGCGGAATCAGACAGATGAACGATGTTCCTACGTTTCCAGGCCACCGAGAGGGGAATCTCTTAATGTTGGATAACACGTCAGAGACTGGGCTCAGCACTATTCCTTAAGGAATACTCACTAATATTTGATGCGCTTGGACCCTTCATGACTAGGCATGCATGGGCCTCGTCTGTCTGAGATGCTAATTTCTTCATGTGATATTTTGCTTGCGCTTCTATGTCGCACACTGCTCTTCTAGATTCCTTTGACTAGCGTTTTCGTATGTTGGCATTCCACATAAAACAAACCTGTTTTATCGTTAATTTCCGCGCAACACCTACAGCTGGATTAAATCGTACTTGATGGAATTCAGTTGGAATGCAAAGCGATCGATTTATAAGTTGCTCACATCCACGATTAACAACAAACTCACTTAAGTTCGCAATGTAAACAGTCGATCCAGAAGCATCTGACGTCTTAACGAAAGAAAAATGTAAATGAAAGCATGTAATACTCATGAAAAAATGTAAGAATGAATGAATAAGCTTTTACATATAAACTCTTCTATGTAATATGATCACTGCAAAGCATTTCGATAAGTAAATCACTTTCATTCAGCGATTCATCTCCACATGCAAATTGCTGGCTTATAGCGTTGATGTAATGATACTGATGAAAAGCATTAAAGCAGAAGCGCATGGCGCAATCATGTAAGATGGGCGAATGTATAATATCGTTTCAAAAAGCAGTTGTTATTGTTATTGTTGCCAGTGCCAGCACATTGTAGTAATATTCAAGCGATTCACTAAACAAAATCAATTTCAATAAGCAAACGGGAATACGGAAATTGCTTTCGTCGACAAATTCATAAATAACACTCAAATGCAAATAATATTTCATGTGATTAATGAACGAACCATTTTATGGTAACATCTCATTTGATTTTTTCCTCATTCACTGTTTGCTCGATTAAGTGTTCCATTTAGTCACTTTAAAATGTTCGTTGTTGTTAAGGATAAACAGAATACAGCATCGATCCATAATAGTTCGATGGTTTTCGGTTATGAATAGCAAATGATTTGAATGAAGTTTTGGTGAGGAATATGAGAGAAATTGAGATGATTTTACACATATGTTTTAAGAAACTGCGAAAGTTAGTGGCTATAGCCACTAACTTTCAAAGCCGTTATAATGGAATTCAACGGCCATTATAACGGCTTTGAATTTGCTTTAGCAGAGAACGTAAAATCGACAACGACGACAACAACCAAATGAATCAAAATTAGTAACAGTGAATGTTATCGTCTATATGCAGGCGGATTTAAGGCGTTTTGCATTTTTGATCCGGTTTTTTTGTTTGTTTTGTCATTCAGAAAACTTGCCCACAAGTGCAGTTACGTTGATTCATCCAGCACTGATTAGAGGTATGAGTTTAGCAATAATGATTACGAAACAAGTTGAGCGTTACGAGTTGATCGGTAAAATTAAGACGTGAGAAACAAACCGACCAATGATGATGATATATAATGACTCAAAGTGGTACATGGACGGGATGATTTGGAGTGTTTTGGAGGATAAGACGTGCATTGTTCACGTGAGTTACGCTTGATTTCGTAGGGGTGATAATCGATAGATCGTTCAGTTGGGAAGAAATAAACTGCTGTTATATTACCGCAAGGAACAACGCCCTAAGGGTAACATTATGAAGAGTTATGTCAGATATGTCACTCATAATATACTTAGTGCAAATGATCATTGCAGTGAAGTGCTCAGCAATAACATCTGTTGCAATGATTACGTCCTATATTCAGTCTCATTTCAATTTGTGCTTTAAGAATGGCCCGAACTGTTTTCACGAATGATATGTGTGAACATGGATAGGGAATGAACTGAATAATCAACAATCGATTGAATAATCAGCTGTACCAATCGTATGAGTTTGACAATGGAATTAATATTTCAAAATCGAGAACGCAAAACATAGATGACAGCACCCTCAAGCCATGATCGAAATCATCACCAAACAGTCACAAAGTTAACCAACAATTGCCCACTGATAACTCAGCGATAAATCAAATGACTTCAGCGAATCAACTGACCCATTGAATGTCAAACTAATTTATATTTATAGTCATCTAATTTATAGTCATCGCTGATTCATGAAAGTGATCATGAGTGAAATGACAGTTCTTTTCGCGACATGCGGTTTTTATTTTGCAGAAATTAACGAAAGAAATTGATGAAGTCGAACTGTAATGCGTCATTTCATGAGGACATCTCTTTAGAGAGTTATGTGCGCGATACGTAGGTAACGCCTAATGAGCGGTAATAAAATCAGCACTCTTTCTTGTAATTCGCTCTTCAAAAGTGCAATCAACGTTTGTTTTGAATGCCGGTCATGATCGCAATGACGATATAACACGTGTAACATCATGTGAATTGCGCATGTTTCAACAATGTTCTATCAATGTTTTTTCAGGAAATGAGGAATATGGCTGAAGTGAATGGTTATGTGTAAGTGCGCGATTCACGCGATTGTGCGGATGTATCGCTGAGAGTTTGAATGAATTGAGATAAACCTGTGAGAGCGTATAACTCATAAATGACGAGAAGAGGAAGTTATCTGATCAATATAAAAGCCACATGTCGCAATTTAACGAAAGAGTTTCATGAGTAAATTAAACAACGATGAGTAACGAATGTTGATAATAGTTTGAACTGCACACAGAATGATGTGTGCAAACGTCAGCAACTTCGCAAACTTCATCGTGTTTTAATCTCATAATCTGTATTCGGTGGTTTTTGCAACTTCGTCGCTGCAATCATCGAGCTGAACAAACAAACCATGAAGAGTGGCAGAGAGAAAATTTTGAAAATCAACATTATTCAGTGAGCAGGATTTCACGAAGCATTTACGTCGTACAATTACAAGATTATCAATAAAGCTTTATTCAAATATATCCAAACTATACACGAGCTAAGCATTTAAAATGCTGCCGACTATGACTTTCGGTAAATTTGAGCGTCTTTGAGAAAAACACTAAATAAATGCATCAATTCATTCATTCACTTAATATCTCTATCATGATAATGTTTAAAGTGACTTGCGATTTTTTTTTTGATTGCGCAATTCGAAAACGATGGTTCGAACGTGTGCAACTATTTTAAAACCAAAATTACAGGAAATCGAAAAAAATTCAAGAGAATAGAAATGAATGTCGTTTCAGTGGAGCAACTGATGAGTGAATGTGAATCGACAACGAATGTGAAGTCGAGCATAATTCCGACAGTGTGGTGCTTCACTGACTCATAAAAGCTGCTGGCAAAGGGAATTGACAGATTTCTTTTTAAAAAAAATTCAAATTGCTGCTAAACAACGAAATGCAGCAATATTATACAACAAAATAGATGCCACGGAATGTATCGTGAACAAAGTTTCGTTGATGGAAAAGTTCATGTTAAGCACACAATTGCAGTGAGCAAATTATATGACGTGAATTATGCAGTCGTTTCGAATGAATCAAACAAACATTTAACATATATCCATCCGTTCTAAAACATTTCTGAGCTTTATTTCATTTTCGTGCTTCGCCAATTTCAGAACATTGCGAAATGAAGTTTAATCAGAAAGGAACTGAATCGATATCAAGAAGAAATGAATATTCAATAGGGAAAAACGATTTGCGAGCACAATGAATAGTTCAGTGAAGAAAATGAGTGATTTCATTTTGTTAATATGATCACGAAACCATCATGAAAAAGTTGATCACCAAAAATATTTCTTCTCCAGGGCATTCAAGACGAAGACCGCTGTGGACGCCTCAGGACATCTTTGCTGACACTGTTTGAATCAATTTTGATGAAAAAGAATTCAGTTATGGGATAATAATTTTGAAGTATCTCACGAGGACTAGTCAGGAATTTTCAAGAGTTTAAATTGTGTATTCAAAAACAGAAAGATACAAATGCGATCAAAACTTGAGTTCGAATATTTACATAGAAAATGATTTCCGATGTGTAAACGTTCAGCACTGGAGTATTGAAAATGAAATATGAGGAACCTATGAGGCAACATGCCATGTCGAATGAGAGACGACATAGCGTAGTGGTGCGACGAGGACAGCGAGCAGTTTTNTTTTGATCGATAATGGCCACAAACGGCTGTCAATAAGCCGTCAATAGCTGTTGGGAATAAATCCCTTCAGCGCGCACAGACATTATCCTTGGACTGAACGACGCGTTCCTTTTCTCTGATCACAATTTCATTAGATGCGCGCTTTTGCCTGACAATCTATTCACACACTCTTCACAATTTTCTGCGTTTAATGTCTACGAAATAACGCACCAACAACGATTACATTATATCCGAGCTATTTCAGAATTTCCACCCCGTATTCATACCAGAATTTTTTTGAGAAATCAAGAAGTATTGGAATTCCTCGGGTAATCATAACTTTCTCGACAGCAGCAATCGACTTCATACAGTAGTGAAAATCAGAAATTAAACAATACTAATTGCTCAAAGTCAATAATATTAATTCACGACTCAAAGTTCCAACCATCATGCACCAAATCGATTCAAACATTTAAGTCGAAGAGGAGATGCAAAGATGTCAAATTTTCCGAATTGGACATGAAACTGATAAGTTGATGTCCGCATCGGTAAATTGCAAACCAGATTGTGTACTTGATGGTTCGCTTCATCTTATAACGTCTCGAAATTGTACAACATGTTTCATCGACATAACCTCAAACCTAGTTTATTAAAGATACCATTTTGAAGCAGCTCTACGTATGTAACTGTCGAATGCGCGTTCATTGCGCGAAATATTCTACTCTTTGCAAATTACTCGAATGTGATCGATGCGCTCATTGATTGCATTCTATCGCTGAACTCGCGATTCCAGTTTCGGCATTTGATGAATCTCAAAAAAAAAGATTGCGTTGGGTGTTACGAATGAATTTATCATTGCTCCATGCTTTCACACAGTATATATCAGAATATGTTTTTAGGCCTTCGTCAATGTGCTTGAATTCCCTACAAAATCTTTCCACACTCTAAGTTCAGCTTTCATTTATTCGGTCACTTTCGCTTCACTTCAGACGATGTGTTCAAGTGAAAGTGAATCATTTCAAAAACACAGCGATGGTATAAAGTATTCACTATGAAGTAACATTTACTGTTAGAGCGGAGTAAGCCGCGGACTTTCGACGAGGCATTTCATGAACAGGTTTGCACGCTTATGCTGTGCACCACATCAAATACACAGTCATCTTCAATTCTATCAAATGTTTAGGACATTTTGTGAATGAATTGAGCAATAACTCGAAAGTACCTCGGCAACGAATTCAATGAATGATCCTAATGATTGCACTGATTTGATCGGCACACTTACCAATAAGATGAGAAAATAATGAATGTTTCAACATAGTACTTTCTGAATTCTAAATTATTCAGATGAATAAATGCTGACCATATGCAGGAGTGCAGTTTTTCTACGTTTTTTTTCTACCATATGCAGTTTCCATCTTCTTCTCTACGCACAACTTTGAACAAGAAAAATTACCATTTATGCCACATACAAAGTATCAATTATTCAAATTATAGAGCTGATCAAAAATTATACATCGATTTTGAATTCTACACTTTATTTTTACAACTAATGAAAAGTTGATGTCATTCTTCATAAAATGCTTTTATTCAATTAATCGGGACCATTTCTTCAATTGAGCGGTTTGATCGTTGGACTGTTAATATCTCATAGACCTGGCAGCTTGTAACAATTACTTGCACTCCATCTACGAGGTAAGTAATATGGAGTTGATCAGAGTTGCAGATAGCGTATGCAAGAAAATGTATTTTGCAATCAAATAAAAAATGTGTTCTGATGAGTTTGAGAGGAAGTTTCACCTTTTGGAGATAGTAACACAATATGGAATCGATTAAATTTGTTGTTGTTCGCTGCATAATGCACGTTTGCATAATAACAAATTTAAGGATTATTGCAATGATGAANGACTGCTTTCTCATGATTCCATTCTCTTAACTTACCGGTTCTATGCAATCCTCGTCAGCACTCGACGAAATTCGTCCATTCCATTCCTAAATCTTTCGTTTGTTTCACCGTTCCTCTTTCAGCGCTTGGCTATGCTTCATGCCCTTATCGAAAGGATATTTCGAAGTTTACGGTAAGATTTTCAATCGATCTTCATGGGCGACAAATATCGATATTTTGGACAATTTCGGCTATAATATCTACTCAACCGATAGTATTTATTCATGTTTCTTTCCATTCTGAGAAACATTTGACTTGAATACTTCAGATCAGATGCTATGATGTGACTATTTTAAGGTGTTCGAAGACAATGACACGAAGTGTTTCAACGGATGCTAGTGACGGAATGAGTTTAACGGATGATGCTTCGAGCGGTACATCTGGTCCGTCGGATAGTGGCAGCAGTATATTGTCGTGGAACGAAACGTGCGAACGGATCAAGAAACGACAAATCGATGAACTGCTTGATTCGTTACCGTTCTTCTTCGGCAGTTTGCTTGACGATAGTGATCTGCAAACACAATTGCTGGCTGAACCGGGTAAGTATTCGCCATTCACTTACCCAATATCTCTTTCATTCAAACATTTTCTCAATTTTTTGTTTGGAGGATTATCTATTTTATCACTAATACATCAGTTAGATATTCATGTAATTATTTACATAAAGGTCATTCAAGCAGCTCATTAAGGATGTAAGCCTCTCCGTCATCCTTAGACATTTTTATTTGTTTATTCAATCATTTCTGTGATAGTTTTTAAATGAAGTCAACTGTTTCTGTTGTTATTCGTGCCGTTTGTTTTAATACAGCGAATGTTGTACTAGGAACAAGGCATCTTGAAACTTCGCTTAAAGTTTCATTTAATGACACCTGAGAATTGTCGGTTGAACATTCAGTAATTGGGTGAATGAAATGAGCGAGAATTGCACAGGGTATTGTTCGGTGCTAAATGCTATGATTTTGTTGTAGGTGATGCGTTTTTGGTATCGTGTCCACTGATGAAAGAGGATGCCGGCTGTCGAAGTACAGCATATCGCAAATGGCACCTCGTTATTCTTGGACGAAACGAAATCATTTTCAAACTTAAGGCAGTTTCTAATCAATATGCATTTAGAAGTATAATTGCTGACAAAACAATAGATCATTATCGACGTTCACGCAGGCATTGATAATTGTTTTATTGCTGACCATCAAGAAAATTATTAGTCTATTCTGTACTGACATTATTATAATCATCATTTTTATTATTAATAATATTATTATCATTGCTATTATTAGTATTGTTATTATTATTATTGTTATTATTATTTTTGTCAATACTATTATTATGAATATTGTTACTAACAAAATTATCATTATTAATATTATTATCATTAATAATATTGTTATCATTATGATTATTACTGGTGTAGTGTCAGCATTAGCATTATTATAATTGCTGATTGATATGTGGATCAATTTGAAGGTGATATATCGAAAGAAATTGCTGAGAGTGGCGAGTGATAAGAACACACTGTTGATGGCTTTCATCGACGAACACAAACTAAAAATGATCAACAGACCATGGCATATCACCGCTGATCAGGTGAGGTTCCTTCAATGAATCATAGCAGTCCAAAAGGTAACAAACACTCCAACGCCGGATGCAAGTAGAAATCATCGAGGAAATCAAATCTGAGCTATCGATGCAAAAGCAATGCGATTATTCGAAGCTGACGATGTAATTGTAAACAACTGACCAAGCTTGATGAAGTTTACATTGTGATGAGCATTATCAACAGAGTCGCACTGAGGTATATATAGCTCTACTTTACAGATAACACCAAAGATGCGAATAGTCCCTCAGCAAGCGTTTCCCATCAATGAAGGCACATTCGCGTTGGGTACAATCGAACAAAAAACGCTGAATTTCGATTCGTTACGTCGCATTCCCGTCATTCAATTATCCGTCAAAAACTGCACTCCAAATGAAATTTCATTATTGTTGTGCGAAGCAGATAATCGTAAAAGATTTGGATCTGTGTACGTTCTTCTTCAATATTGGTCGATTGCCATAACCATCTTCATTATATTTTCGAACATTCAATCACTAATGGTCGTCGATGGATGCTAACATTCAAATCAATAAGTTCTGTCGAATCCCATAACATAATGGCATTTGAGAAAAGTGACGGAAGATTTAATCAATGCATTTAAGTCGTATATGGCGTTTATGGGGCATTTGTGAATCAATGAATTGCGATGCGGTTTCGCTAATATTGGAAGATATTGTTTATGGCTGTGTTGCTGAATACGTTCGTATTGGGAGAAGGCAGTACTCACAAGTTATCATTCAACTTTATCGTTGCAATTTTGATATGTTCAGTTAAGTGCAGTCGAAATCAAAACAATATCAGATCATACCGATACAGAAATTGTCCACTTTATTAATCGCACTGCATCGTACATCTATTTTTAGAAGTTTTATCACGTTAATTTGGCCCACTAAAATTAATTTAATGACTGTCAAAAATGCGATGAAATCATGTATTATTACAATGAATGAAAATATCAGTTGTGATTGTTCTTGATTAGCGATAAGATCGTTAGAGACGCGTAATGCAGTGGACGAAATTCAGTCAATCGCCAATGACGATCTTTTTTGCGATATCATTTCACAGAGAAATGATCGATTAATTAATTAACTGCATTCAGCTAGCTCAGTTTGCGGTTCAAATAGCTGAAGGGTTGCGTTACTTGGAGAAATATTCGTTTATTCATCGTCGATTATCGCTCGATGTCTGTATGCTCACCTACGATTACAACATTAAAATCGCTATTTACGGGCTTAGCGCTGGTGAATTATTCGCAACGAGTGATGATTTGGACGATATCGACAGATGCAGGTACAGTGACATGCCTTGAAACCATCGGATGTACTTATGATGACACGCCCGAAAACCTGCACCATTGAAAAATGTGCACTTATCACGTAAAAGCGTTTCACCTACTGAAATTTAGTCAAGAGCGCATAAAGTTGACTTAAAATAAGCCGATAGGAATGCTTCCGTTGAAAAATTTTACCTATCGAACACTACCATCTAATATGCATCAGTTACTCACAACTGTATTAAGCATGTGCCAACATCAGACACCAGGACAATTCGTCGAATGTTGTGCCCGTTATACGTGCATATATGCAGTTTCGAAGGCCTTAGGTAGCAGGCAATGAGCAATTCTTGATATGACCGCAATAAAGCATCATGAGTTCAGATGGATTCCACCGGAGTGTCTGCAGCATCCGGATGGCGCAGAACGTGCCTACGATGCATCAGCAATGGTCTATACGTTCGGTACGATCTTATGGTCGATGTTTCACGGCGCTAGCTTGCCTTACGAAGATGAACTCGCCAGCAACATCACCGATCGCAATTTTCGTCGATCACAGCCGTTGTTCATTGATGCCGAATTAGTACCACATCCTATCAAAGAAGTAAAAATTATTTCTGAAAACCCACTCTGTGCTTCCATCAATATGATGCGATAGGTAACACTATGAAATGAACCAGGATGAATTATTCTTTGTGATTATTACCATGTGGTGGAATTTCTCGAGAAATTAGCTTAAGATTGATCGAACTAAATCATCAAAAAATACAGTTGGTTAGATTTGAGCAGTGTAAGACAAACTTTAGGTGATTCAGCGATGTTGGAATGATGATCTAACGGTTCGCGGTCTATTTCGAGATGTTGAACGACAACTGAGAAAGATTCGTGATAGTGCTGAAGCGGATTGAGTGTGCTCGATTATCAATAATACCCTTGTACATCATGTATCATTTGTTTTGCTTTTNTTTTACACTTTTCATTTAAACCATTTGAGTGTTGTACATTAAAAGCTACCTCGTTGCCTTCATACATCTATCTGTAAATGAGCTTTCTGTTCGAGAATGCCGTTCCCCAGACATAACCATTGGTCGCTCCACACGGAATCATCGGGATGTGTTCTCTCATAAACCCCAAGTTTTAAGACCGTATTCATTCAAAGTTCAGTCAAGGCCCCAATCTCACGTTCAAACTGCTTTCGAATTGGTAGGACTAAATATGCTAAAGCTTACCGAGTTACTTCCACAGAATCACTTATCTCAATAAGTCAGTTATCGAAGCAAGCTACGGTTCCTTTCAAAAACAGACGGCCACTGAAACTGATATCTTGTCGAAGTAATCATCCTGATCTCCTCAAGCAGAAACGTTTTTCGCCAAACCAAAACACCGCATAAAGAAAGTGAGAAATAACAACGATATGGCATTAGTTTATTACAATTTACATTCACTTGTAGTCACACATCATTCATTCAATCGCGCACTAATCATAAATTGAACACGATCAAAATGACGACCACATCAGTGTCAGTTACCATTACACTCATAATGAAATGTCAACTGTTAATCACAAATAGAAATTTACAACAATAATCATAATAATAGTCACCATACAAGATCGTTAGCAAAAAAAAACTGTGAAAATATTCTCTAAAAAATATCGAACGTTAAAATAAACGAAGCATCGATATAAAACATCGATAACTGTGAAGAAAAGACCGTTGAAACGATAGAGATATGTCTAAATCAGATTTGAGAAATAAATCAAACAAAGTACTGACATTTAAACAATACTTCCAGATGAACATAAAATCTGCTCACTCCGCTGTTAGCATCTTTCGTAAATATCATTCACAACTTTTCCAATTCCCGTATTAAACATAATGAATGAACATTCAACAATTGATTTTCTTTACACTTGTTGCATTTTCATAATTCCTTTCTGCGTTCCATTTAGTCAACTGGATGAACCTCGGAGAAGAAATTCGCACTCACATTCACAAGAAAATTGGCCAACTCAAGCGAATTTCGACAACTATCAGCTGAGATGTTGAAGAACGTAAAGATAGAAGAAGTGGAAAGAAATAACTACAAACAAACAATACAACACAGAGGATGACTGATCAACAAATACGATTATGGACATTACACAACGAATGCATATTATGGACAAATATGACACTTGCACGTGCGAATTATATGATACGTGTGAAAACGAACAAACTAAAACAAACAACTCAAAAAAAATGTGTACTGATCACTATAGTCCTCTAACGAGATTTTTTCCTGGCTTATGCTAAGATATGGTTGTTCTTTGGTTGTCTGAGTAAGAGCTATGGAAAGCGCTGGATTTAAGCGTAAGTCTAAGGATTAGCTTGAGCCAGAAATAGTCTCGTAAAAAGATGCCAGTACTAAAAATATTTCTTATATGAACGAATAATGAAACAATCGACCGAAGCACAAAAAAAAANAAAAAAAAATGAATGAGACATGCGATTTGCGACGATGAGGTTTTGTTTGAGTGGAGTGCACAGAAAAGGCGTTTCAATTATTGTCATTCGCATTATCACGAGAAACAATCAAAATTGGTGTGGAATTAAACGAAATACTACTAGCTATGCAATAAATACTAACATACGAACAAATAAGCGTGAATCAATACAATCAAGAAGCACCACTCCGGCAACTTTCAAACATCAGTTACGACTACGCATCCAACAAAACTGGCTCAATCGGCTGAATGTGCCATGTTTTCCAGCACATTTCATCCTGAACAGACCGTCATCATACCTCTTTTATCATCACACAACGAAATCATCACTACTATTTGATACTATTAATCTTATACTAAATGCACACGTTCACTTCATGGTATATTCATTGGTGAGAGAGTACCTCAGTCGTTAATCAAGCAACTAACTCTAAACTGCACCAATCAAAAACTACTGCAAGTAAAAAAAGAGGAGAATTCCTTTCACCGAGATGAGGCATTGAAGTTGATCGATAACAAAGTTCATCCAGCTCTCAATAAAATAACAACTCAACTTTGTACTTGGAATTGATGTACAGCAGTGGGCAATAAGCTTGGAAACAAACAAACACACACAACGATACAAATTTGAGTGCGACAAATAAAAGAATAAAAATCAAACTTGAAATAGACGAACCTATGAATGATATCATATCAAGCGAGTGTGAATAAGTAAATCAAAAGGCAAAAACATCCTGCAATCGAATTCAAACAAAAATAATATTTAATAAATGCATTGTTCGAATTTCATCTCATCAAATACGATGAAGAGACATTTGCTAGGACCAGCAAGCATTTATGGCAAAACACTACCCTAAAATATTTCGTTTCACACGAATTTTAACATTTGCTTCGTTCCAAACTTTGAATGCATTCTAAAATTTTTTATTGAAAAATAAATTCTAAAAGGGACCATCAAAATATTTCAATGGAAAAATATCAATAGGTTTGCTCTTTACGAAAATAATAATAGCAATTTTCGTTATTAACTTATGGGAGAGAGTGCATTTGCGGAGAGAAATTTTTGAACGTAAAGTGATCGGATTTAATCAGATGAAATGGATGGCATACAACTTCGCTTTTTCTGTATCCGTTACACCTACTCCACATTAATTATTCATTTGTGTGAATGGTATTGCGGACTGATCAAATGAATACACGAAATGATGAATTTCTTCGATATTAAATCAACAATAAGTTGCTTTTCCTATTCGCTTCACTTGTTTTGTTGTTTATGAGTCTACCGATCCGCAGTTCAGCTCAGCACAAACTATCCCCCCAACAAGAATGGCTCTAAGCCGCAATTCACAACTAATTTTCGATGAATTGGTTGCAGTTTAGCGAACTTAATATCCGCAATAACTCATAGTCAGTTCAATAAAATTTAGGAATTTAATTGATTCAAATTACCTGCGTTATCATTAATGATCATATTACATTGGATGAACATAACACAAACAAAAACGAAAATGATCGATAAACACAATCATCCATAACAGCAATAATAACAATAACAATAATCATGATGAAATCAAAATCAAAAATACCATGTATATATATGCATATTTATCACATCACAATAATCAAACACGAACAAACTCCGACTGATTCATTTCGATAATTTCTTCACGTGAAGTGCATTAACGATTGGTTGTTGTGCAAGATATGTGGCTGCCGCACCGTTATTATTATTACTATTGTTATTTGGGGACGATAATACATCAACGTCAACGACCGGTGAATCGGATCGTAATGATACCTCATTCATGTTCGTTAATCGGCAAACACACCTGGACTCGTATGCTTTCAGCAGCGCTGTCACTCTTTCCAGCTCACGTCTCAGCACTTGATTTTGGGTCTGCAATCAAAGCGCTTTTATTCGTTTTTAATACTTAATTATCACAACCGAATCTACTACAACTAAATCTTATTGATATCAGTAAACAAGCTGTTGAAAAAGCAACGATAACAACCGACTGCAAAAGTATCGTTTGTTTTGGCAGAACCATTTGTCTATTTAGTGATGCCATGGCAACAACAAAAAGATTGAGGAAAACAAAATATATATATTCCTTGATTGCGAGCACAATTACACAGTGACATACGCATTCCAAAAGTTCAACCGGTCGTTCTGCTTTCTGCTGACAAGAAAGATTTATGTAAACGGTGAATAATACGAACCGTTAAAGCATTTTTCTCCTGTTCAAGCATTTGCACTCTTGTGATCATTTCGTCATGTTCTTCCTTCTTTCGTTTTCGATAGCGAACTGCTGCCGCCTTATTCCTCTCCAGAATTGTCACTCTGCGCTCATCGGGTGGCAGATCAGCAGTCAATGAGGTTCGACCCCGACCTCGTCCACCGCTCCGACTTGTCGACGGAATTGACACTTCACTTTCAACGCTTTAATTGAACAAATAAAAATCTTATTACTGCGATTCACTAAGTGAATATTTGTGTTGTGCATTTAGCAACTTTCACTTCCAGGACATAAGCTACCAAAGATTGGAACTGCTGACATAAAACAAAAACTAAACGAATGTGTATTGTTTAGGAAACAAACCTCCTCGGTCCTTGTGACGATTGCTGTTCGTTAATTACCTTTTGCACTGCATCTTGTTGCTGCGCGTTTGGATATACCTCTTCGTGATCAAAGTATTGCTGTTGATCATTCTGAATAATATTAAATTTGCATTCGTCTTCTCGACCTTTTAAAAAATGGCCATCAACCAAATGCCAGTTTTACCCAGCTGTGACACAACCATTTACATACATTCCTCTCCTCAATTCTATTAGATCACAGTCTCAATCTAAATGTTCCTTCAAAATTGCAATGTAAAAAATTATATTCGTACTACGAATTAACACACAGGATATTTTTCTAGAGCAAAAAATGTAACAGGAAACATAAAGCAAGCAATCAAACGAACGTTTGAAAAAAAAAACACCTTGAACAATCAAACAATCAATCTGTTCATAATTCTCAACACTGACCAGTGAGACAGACACCGTTCGTGCCTGCCTGAATCAAATCCATTCGAGTAAAGTTCACATTTTAGACGAGTACAACATAAGTTTCAAGCAATATTAAACAGTGATTAAGACGAACATCGGATGGTGGTGATGTGTAGCGGACGAAGGTGATGACACATTGATGGAGAGTGGCTGGGTGGTAGACGACGATAAACCAGCAGAACTGCATGCAGCTGCAGCCAGTAATGTTGCTGACGAGCTTAGTGTTGTCAATGCACTTGCAGTCGACAGTGCTGCATTGGTCACGGGAACGGCTGCAGGGAGTTGCGATAAACCTATCATTGAGTTGGTGGTAATCAATGGTTGCAGGGAGGGAATCGGCGCTGTGATGCAGTTACTGGATGTGGACGACGAGGCGGATTGGGCTTGAGATACAGCAGTGGACTGAGCTGTCGCAGAAGCAGCTACACATGATGAAGACGATACGGACGATGAGCTGTTCGTTGATGAACACGACGGACTTAACAACACCGACGGTATAGCACTTACGTTGCCATCTAAGACATTACTACTACTACTGTTGATAAGACTACTACTGGTCGTTGGCACTGATACCGACGCAGCTGCACTGGCCAACGATGCTGCTATTGCGGCTGTCGATGGAATCGTGCCGCCCGGTGTGGCACCCTGAAATTTTTAGTCGGTTTAGCTTAGTTATTATTCACAATCAGTTTAGTTTGCTATTTACTTAGTGATCTATTTGGTTTGTTTCAGGGGTAGTTCTCGTTTTGCTATCAGTATCATTATCATTGTTACAAACGATACTTTGCATATTTATTACTATACTGATATCATAGAGTGAGGTGAAAAATTAACATCACGTTAAAGGTCAGATAAATAGATGAATTATTTTGTGAAACGGTAAATGTTGTATCAGTTAGACGAGAGGAAGACGTGTATGGTTGGTTTCGAAAGAAAAGAGCAACTAACAAGAGGTGACGAAGTGGTATTGCCACCAGAACCGAGATAATTGAAGCTACTCAGTCTATCCGAATGCATATCGAGAACTGCATTCAGCACGTCTGCAGTTCGAGGTGCTTGACCACTCGACGTCGTCGCGTCATTATCAATTCGTGAACTCTGCGTTGATAAACCTCCGTTATCTTTCATCTAAATCATTCACTCACTCAATCACCTAAGTGGTATCATACACATACGCTGCTGCATACAAACTAAACAGCAAACAAATGAAAGCTTTCGTTGTTAAGAACGTCACTATAAATCACCACAACACCGTAATCGTTATCAATGAATTTTCGAAATATAAACGTATTCATCGCCATCATCATCAAAAACTAACGTGTTGCAAGAGACGTGCAAAATCATAGTTTTCGCCGTCGAGATCTGCAGATGGAAAGTTGATGTTGGAAAAGATACCCGGTGAATGCTCTAGAGCTAGAGAAGTGGGTAACTTCAGCAAAGTGATACCTTGAGATGTTGGTAGCGACAGGGTTGCAGGCACTAATCCATTCTTTAATATAGAAACATCACATTTGTCTTCAAATTGAAAATTGATGCTAAATTCAATATTTTACTGAACACTATGAATAATAAAACTGTATGTGTCAATATGACTTTATTCAAAAAAGCAAAATGAAAACAAATTATGAAAATTACGTCACAAAAGAACTCATCAATTGTCAGTGTCAAAGCAATACATCACTAATTACTATTACTACTCCTAAAAGCTGCATTAACATTAACAGTTTTGAACTGAGAATGATAATATAAGTTCATCTACCAAAGTTGAAATATTCACATATTCTGCTATTAACGTAGGTAACGAATAAACGAGTTCATTCTACAGAAATAGCTAACCTGCTCTAAGAGTTCCTGATTTCCTTGACTAAACTGACGATTCGCTTCACGAAACTTCAGCTCGAATGGATTCACGGCTAAGCATTTCTGCATTAATTCAGCAGTTGATGGAAAGTCACCTGAATGATGATGCACTTCACTTCTCTTGACAGCTGTTTACAGCGAGTAATCAAGACATGATCTTTGTTCATGAAAGTTTCCAATTTCAAAAATACCTCGCGTAACGGTGCGGCCGATTGCACACAATTCGGCAGAAAACATTTGTGCCTACGATGGGCAGCAAAATTTTGCACATACCATTCAATCACTTCCAATAAAATGCGGTAAAGAACATGCAAATAAGAGACAATCAATACCAGGTAAAGATGCAGAATTTGCAGATACCATATTGGCTAGGTTCGGTGTTTCGAGAGTGACCACATCCACCGATGAATCATCGCGTTCCATTACGCTCTCCATTTTCAACAACTTAAACCCAATTTGCTCATTTACAACCTCTCACGTAAATAGGAAAATAAATAAACAAGTTATTCTTCTGGAAATTACAGTGCTGCTTACTAGTAAATCCGAGCGAAATTTCGTTCGGTCGGAATTCCGAAGCTGTCGGATTTTCTCGACCGACTGTCGGTCGGATCCCATCACTACTGCTTACACAACATTTCAGTAGAATTCAATGTAGAAGTCGCTTTCATATATTCGGATAATTTTATGTAATCAGGAAGTTTCAATTGTTTTGATGGTCAGAATGGTCAAAGATCATAGTATACGTGTCAGCTGAGTCAATCACTGATTGAAGATCGATAAAATTTGTTCGCAAGATAAAAACCGATATCAAAGTGAAGAAGAATAAAAAAGCAAAGAGATGAAACAACGTTGAACGACTACTAACCATTGGTCCGCTCGAAGTGGAAATGCCATTATTGTTTGATGAAGTTGTCGCAACTGACATACAGCAATGATAGTTGTGATCAGATGAAATGGGGCTGCAAAATGAAAACGTGAATAAAAGAGAGTGAAAACATCATAGCGCTAGTAATTTACATATGACATGATCAATAACATTTCATATTATCACTATTACGAACACATCAATTGTTATTGCTATTCAATATATCGGATTAGCTTTGTTAATCGAACAACACTATGTTTTGAACACTATTTTAGTGACAGAATGAAAATAATAAGACTTTTTAAGTAACCATCAACAGTCACAGGATGATGCAAATGGGAATTTTTCACGAGAGCGGACAAATGAGAACACATGTAATGCCTGCCTTCTGATCAGATATGTCAATCACGATCAACTGCACTCGTTCTCAGGGAAATCGTTTTTTTTTCTCTGTGTGATCACACTTCCCACTTTTAAG